GTATGTACGTATGTACTTATGTACGTATGTACGTACGTGGGTGGGTGGGTGGGTAGGTAGGTAGGTAGGTAGGTACAGATACGTACACATGTACATGTGCCTATACGTACACACACACATACATACACGTAAACGTACACATATACATATGCAAAAATACATACTCACGTACTTACATACATACGTACAGACATAGATAGCGACATATGGACATACATAGACATACACATACACGCATACAGACTCAACTTTCCGCCCAGTTATCCGCACCAGCCAGCCCCCCTGGCCTGGACTACGTGCGTTGGCGCATCAAAGAAGAGTTGTAAAAGATTTGGGCCGGGCTGAGGGCGCACCAAGTGCTGTTTGCCCCTGGCATGAACGAGTACGGGCATTCCATCAGCTTCGATAATAACCAGTATGACACGCCGTCTATCACTGGGGCACTGGGAAACCTTCATGTCGCACCCTGCCGGCGGGATCGATTTTATCCTCTTCCGTCACCATACAGACATGAGTCTGGCCGCCTAGGGCGATGACATGCTCAGAGCAGGACGGCGCTGGAAAGACATTATTTTGTGTCTGTGGTTGTGTATGCACGCATCGCCATAAAGAGAACTGCGAATCCAGAGCAGTCTGACAACAGCCCCGACCCTCTCAAAAAGAATAAGGAAAGCCAAAGACTACGATCCGACCAAGAGGCCTTGGTGAGGGATCACGGAGTCCTTGTCCCCCCGCCCCGCTCCCCATAGTTTGGGGATGGTAGTTCGAAGCGAGACTGGCAGATGGATCGAGACCCCGGATCAGGAAGTCAGCTCCCTTCTGTTCATGTTCTGAATGATACAAAGCCCCATATATAGCCTGTCCCTGGTCCTCATCGTTTTTAAGCTTTGGTGCGGCTTCTGGTCTCCGTTCACGTCAACATTCTCAAAATCATCATCTCTCATCATGCTGATACTCGTGTCACTGACCAATTTCATACTGGTCGCAGCGATGTTATCGCAGGCATCCAGCAGCAGCAGTCCAGCGGCAGTGCGTTCGATATCTGTGGCACGACCGTAAAGAGGAGTATAGTAGTGGCACCAGTTGTGCACGAGCAGCGATACAAGTAGCAGAAATCGTAGAAGTAGCATCGTGTATCTGTCGTTAGAAGGGCGACGGCTAACGAAGTGAGGACATCACCCCCGCTACCAGTCACCCCAAAAATCTCCACACTCACAGCCACTACTACAAAAAATTGTCGCACAGCCCCAAACAGGCGAAGAAGGAAGGAGATCCATCGCGAGCTTTTCTTCCAGACCTTCCCGACGCTCGGTGTGGAGCCGCACCTTGCCGACAGGCTCGTGAAATCAAATTGCACTTTGGTTCCGTTGGTGAAATCCCCAGAATAGGCCGCTGTACTTCCAGGTCAGGAACCAATGCCAATCCAAACTGCTCATCTCATTCCAGAGGTCTGGGTTGACGGGGAGAAGTCAGACCAATAGCTTGACACAGAGCAGGACCCTGCCAATCGCAGTTCCCTCCATTCCCCAGAAATCATGACACCTTCGCAGTGCTGTAGCTTCGCAGTTGAATCTGCAGGCCACAGGATACCCTCCCAGGGGTGGCGTACCTGTGGCGGGCGAGCCACGTGGTGGCTGTCAGCTACGCTAGCGGAAGTTCGGGTTTCAATTGCGCGGATGAAAGTGTATCACATGATGTGGCGACAGCAATGTGAAAATATTCTGGCCGTTTTAGGAAACTGGCTTTGGTCGAGCGTTTGAAGTCATGTTTGTTGGGTTCTCTGAATCTTGGAACACACAAGATCTTGGCGAGGTCATCACGACGAGTTCAACTTGGACCTTACTCCTGGAGAGGTTGGAACAATGGTTTGGCTTTCAAGTCTCCTGAAGTCGATACCCTGTAGTTGTCCTAATCTTGAGAGACCTCTTACGAAAATCTGAGGAACAGCTAGCAACCCCTGTGCAAGCCCTTGCAGAACCGTAGAAGCTTCGCAGGTTTTTGTCGCAACACTGAGAGATACTAGTTAGCTACTCAGGAACTTCTAAACAAACCCTTATAGATACCCCGTGGTGGGCAGGTCTTTGAGAAGCGGATGCCCTACGCCTTCGCCGAGTTCTTTGGCAGCTTCGAGGAGACTGGCGCTGTCCTCTACCCACCGCCACAATGCTACAAGTACTACGAGAACAAGGCTATGGGGGTCTGGGTGTTTGCGGGTTCAGGCTCGGTTTAGGACGGAAGTAATTGGTGTCCTTTTTATTGTCTGCCCGCCGGGCTTTTAATCGGCTGGTGTTGATTGCCCGGCCGGCTTGCAAGCCCACCGGCCGTGAGTGAGTGAGTGAGTGAGTGATGGCAGCATGCAAAAGCAAAAAGGGTGCGGAACCAGAACGGCACTCTCGCCGGATTTTTCGGGTGCTGGGTGCAGGGTTCTAGGGTTTGGGCCCAGGGTTAGGATCCAGGGTCCAGTGTTATCAAGCTTTGTGCAAGCTATGGAGAAGTGTCACTGGACTTTGTGTGACTCGAGGCTTTCTCCTTGGAACTCGATGGATCTAATCTCAGAGCCGCTGACAAGTCGAGTCTCTATCCGTTCAGCTCGGTCGATTCGTCTTGCAGCAGACGACTCCAAGCTCCAAAGACAGCCAAAGCCAAAGCCACCACTCTGCTTTCGTGAAAATTGAACTTGCAGCAGGCTGAGTAGTAGCAGTTTGTCGTGTTCGCAGCCTTAGCACCTACTCAGTTGTAATTCATTATCGTGCAGTGATATTGACAACCTTTCGTCCGTCAAGACACGGAACGATCCTCACGGCCAACCCGTACTTACTCTCGCCCAAGATTGGCAGCATTGGCAGTACCAGCAATAGAAGATGCATGGCAGGGACAAGAGCATGTACACAGTAGAGGTAACAAGAACCAGTAGACCAGAGTAATAGTAAAAGCAACACTGACAACGCTGTCAGCGACAGCAGCATCATCTGCAGCATCAAACGCGGTATCAATGACGCCATCAAAGCAGTAACCATATGGGCCATACGATGAAGAACGATAGACGGGAGTAGCGATGATTATGTACTACTAGCGGTATGCACACTGTATGAACGGCAACAGAGCAAGCTCTTCTGTCTCTTTCGTGCAGATGTCGTTGGCCAGGTCGCTCTCACAAAGCTCTTCCAGGACGCCAATGTGCAGATGCCTTTGACGTGGGTGTCTCGGTCGCATCCACTTTCGGGGTCGTGGTTTTGGGCTTTAGTGCAACACTGTCACTGCCTTGACATAGAGCCGGATGCACGTGAGCACCGAGAGCGGTCCACACAATCCAAGTTGCAGTGGCCTTGAAAGGGTAAGTTTAAATTGTCACTTTGTGTTTACGAGCTTTTGCGTACAACGTAGCCATGACAAAATCGAACCAAAGCAGAGCTACTTGAATGCGATTCTCTGATTATTCACTTCATCGCATTTTCCAGATCCACAAAATTTTGATCAGTCGATTGGCGGGCAATACAAGTCCATCAAGCTCCGTTATCTCCTGCGTGATGCTTTTATATTTTGTTCTGCCTGCTGTGCCCGGAGCATGCGAAATCTCCAGCTTTTGATGGGCGCGGAGGATGGGGCTTTTGCTTCGGAACATCGAACACAGGTTGGAACCCAGAGTCTGGAATCTGGAAGGAAAGCATGCAGATCCCAAATGGAACACTACACAACGACAAAAGGGTGGGGTCCACCTAAAACACCTTGCACAGCCGTTTCTCGGAAAAGGCTTCGTTTCAAGTCGTGTGCCTTCTGCATCACTGGCCGAGGGAAGTGTGTGTTGTCTTCCCATCGCCTGACGCTGCTTTGGCCAAAAACCATTCCAGTTTTCTCTTATTCTGCAGGTGTTCCGCGACCTGTCGGACGCAATGGCTCGTAAAGAGGAAGTACAGCTGCCGGTGGTGATCAAGGCAGTTTTACTGGCTGAAGACTCGAGTTTGAAGACTTGGCATTTGACGAATGTCGAGATTCTAGACTAAGTCGCCACCTGCCCTTCCCTAGAAAATTGGTGAGACTTCCTGCACTTTAAGCCTGTTCTCCAATCCCGGTGTCGTAATTGCAGCACAAGAATTTCGACATGGCGCTGCGTCTCCACATATGCTGGCACCAACTCACTCGGGCCCGATTGAGAGAAAGCACGCTTCAAGCTCGCAGGATCCCTACGGCTACTCCAGCATTGGCTTGTGTGGCACTCAGATTTCGGCTGCGGCCACATCATCGAAAGATAGAAGCGAAGCACATAACCTCCTTGCTCTGCATGGCGAACTGCAGATTGAGGGTGCGGTGCAGCCAGAACAGCCCAACGAAACCATGAACATTCACTTCGAAACCCTGAAGCGCCCACACAAACCCTAGATCCTTGGAAGCCCAACTAAACCTCTCCGAAAACCCCCAGGCCCTGCAGTACATCCTCCTCCCCCGGCTGGATGTCGCCCCGCTTTTTGCTCCTGCCGCAGGCTGCAGGCAGAGACGCCGTCCGAGCTGATGCAGGCCGGAGTCTAGCAGAGGCTTCGGGATTGTGGGGCTTCGGAGCTCGGGATTCGAGGAGACGATCGGAGCATCAAAAAAGCCCGCGATGAGAAGAACATGCAATAAGTGGTGTTGGCACGGTATAGACACAATGCCACCAAGACGATTCTGCCGAGCCAGTAGCCAGCGTGCACTTGCACATCGTGATGCCCTTCAGTTCAGGCCTTGAAGGAATTCTTCTCCAAGGCCTTCCCTTCCTTGTTGGGGATTTGTGAGAACTGCACTGAGTGCAGATGCGCATTCCGGAAGGGTTCTGGCCTAAGCCGGGCTGCAGAATTCGGTACACCACACGCTTGTTTATACTCACTGCTTGCTTTTCCACAATTCACCACGTCACACCCTGGCACGATGGAATGGCAGCAATTCAAGCTTCGTGGAAGGTTTTCAAACTGGGCCTGAAACATACCGAGCACGCGCACACTCACGCTGATGGATTTCGGCAAGGGAAGCGGTCAGGACGAGCAACTTACGGTGGGGCAGGGTGTTGCAAACTGTAATGCAAAAATGTAATGCAAAAACAACGGTTGTTCTAATCTTGCCAGCTCAGGGGCCTGGCTTTTGTAATCTCGCTGGCTCGGGGTCCCAGCTTCTTTGCAGGTTCGTCAGGATGATCAGTCCTGATATCCGCACTTAGTATCGCCGCTTCGTTGCAACTGCACGAGTGAACCAGTGCTTGCAAAACGAAGGAGTGACCTTCTGTTCCCATGTGCTAGGGAAGTTCTCTCTCTCTCTCTCTCACACACACACACGTCCACACCCGCACGCACGCACGCACGCACGCACGCACGCACGCACGCACGCACGCACGCACCGATGCACGCACCCAGGCACGCACACACGCACGCACACACGCACACGCAGACAGAGCATTTAGCCAACATCCACATGC